GCAATCAAATGAGGTCTTTAGTTAACCAAAACACAGATCGTAGGCCTACGACCTATGTTCTCATTTTGACTATGGGCTTATTCTGACTTGAAATTATCTTTGTTTGACCGAACCGATAAGCACAATGTGTTTTCAGTTTGGCTCGTTCTGTCCTTGATCGTTGGAATATTAGTTTGATTGGTTTTAACTACTGTGTGGTATCTAAATATGAATAACAATAAGAACAAGAAAGGAATGATAGATTTGAGCTTCATTTGGTTCAGCTTCGGCTCCAATCATACGTGCATGTGTGCCTGTGTGAAATTTATCAGTGTCCAACGTCCGATTAATTGCACACATGTTGGAGTGGATGAATTGGGCCGGGTGGGATAAAGTGCTTGCACAGTATCTTCTGGGTGCACACGTGTGTGTGTGTGTGTGTGTGCGTGTGTGTGAATATGAATACTTACGACTTCAGCCACTTCAGAGGAAGAGAAATCGAATTCGGTCTTTTGTTCACAGAGCAAAGAAAATATGCACGACGGACACCATGGACAGTGATATTTAGTTAGTATGTACTGTTTTTGTCCAGGATGGCTACCCCGAACGATTTATCCATAGGACAATGCTGGAACACAAGGAACGACCAAAGAAAATAGGAATAGCGAAGAAGTCTGTCTATGTGCACCTGCCGTTCGAGGGAGGTGGAAATCTCTCAAAGAAAGCTCACAGGTGCAGTAAGCAGAACATTTCACGCTGCACACCTCGAAGCTATGTTCACATCCAAACCAATGATGTGTTTCCGACTGAAGGATAGAATGCCAAATTTTTGCAGCCTCATTCTGTGTATACTCATTCACCTATTCCTGTGGAACTGGGCATATTGGTCGCCCGAACAAACCTTATCTAGTTGCGTTCGAGAATAACACCCAGCTTGGCTGAGGACTGGAACAATTCGGATGATTGTAAGTGCGGTGTGTGCTCACATCTTGTCGAGCCAAATCACTCGATGAATGTGGCAAGCGCGTTCCGATTGATTTACAAGGTTCAATGTATGTAATCAAGAGCAGTGAAGCATGGTATCTTATCCACGGTGGAAGTCGTAAGTATTCGGATTCACAAACTTCCACCCACCCACCCCCGCTTGTGCACCCAGAAGAAATTTGTGCAAGCATGTAACCTCCCCTGGCCCACCCACTTCATCCATTCCAACACGTGTGCAATCACTTGAACGTTTGACAATGTGATTAATTTCACACAATCACACATGCACGCATGATTGGTGCCGGAGCTGAACCATTAGGACTCGGAACCAAATATAACAACAATCATCTAGTATAGCTCCACAGCTTGAGAGCAGTTCATATGTTGCTGCGTTATTCCCCATCAATGGAAAATCTGGTTTTCTATAGAATCAAGGTGTATTGGGTTGTGGTCGAAATCCGCGATGAACGAGGCTACTTTTATTCCAATTGAAGATTGCGAAACCAAAAGCCCTGTCTTGTTCATCTCTGAGATACACAGAACTATCATAGAGAAAAAGTCAGTTTCCACCACTGAACATGCTTTGCTTCAAGTTGACCAATCAGAAAGAGAAGGGCAGAACTTAGCGGATTGATCAGAACCAGCAAGGAATGAAGAACAGTGTCAAAACGTCGCTCCATCCATATGCCCTCTCCCCCATATCCTCACTTTTCCCTGAAAATAATCATCTTTGGCCTTAATAACTAAATTCATCCAGACCTAATAAATCTCTATTCAGAGAATAAAAGGTAAGGGCAAACGATCATCCGAGAAATTAATTATGAAAAGAATCCGCGGCATATGTGAATCGGATTACTGCCATCGGATCTAGCACTCTCAAAAACGTTCAGCAGGCGAAGTACAAGTGATCCAGTAGAACGACTGAGCACAATCTGAGGCGGCTAATTGGAAGTTTACGGACGCAATACCAGTAGAATTCAAGTTTCAGACATTCGATCCAGGTCAGGAGGCTCGGAGGCATGGTGTTTCAAAGTTATCTTGGTGATCCCAGTCTGCGAGATGACGCGTATCCTGGAGCGACACGTGATAGTTTTGGAACAACTGTGATCAATCGTGCTTTACCGGTGACATCAGCAAAGCGTCTGCGTACCACAGCTTCTGGACTGCAAACCATCTGCTGATTGTACCTGCCAATCAGAAACCGTGCAACTCAGACAGAAGCTGAATAACGGCAGAAATACTAGAACGTGATTGGCAGAGGTCTGAATGACTAATGAGCTTGTTTTGTACATATTATTTAGTCCCCCGATTTCATCCAATAAACGAACCACTACTCCTGTGACCTTTTCCTCGCGTCTCGGTTACGAGGGATATTGCACGTAAGAGCCAGTGAGATCCAACGCTTACGTGACATCCTTCATTGTTAATCAGTGTTTCGTATTCCGCGATTAATACTTCTTGTTCAGTGCGTAATACCATTACTACAATTAATACAGTTTCGCAATAGCGTTACTATCTTTGGCGCGTGCTTGCGACCACATGATCACCTGTGTATGCGACAAGTTCAAATTTACTCTAGTCAAATCTCCCCCGGTGTATGTAGCTCTCATCACTCTGTGAAGCAGCATTTTTCGTTTCCCAAGCTCGTGATCAATTGATTTGCATTCTCCAGCCTTCTCCCTTTTCCAACTGTGCGTGTGGACTGTCCTTTCTGACATTCCTATTTTGACATTGATCATCGACTTGGCTCCTGTTGTGATGGAAAGTGGTACAAAGAGGGCCCCGGCTAACGAACGAATCAAGAATGGGGCCCATCCAACCAGACGCGCAGACGTAGCTGCTGGGAGTACTTCGAGAGACAATGTTGACTACCACCCGAAACGAACGAATCGACAATTACAGCCCGACAGACAATCCACATCTAGCCAGAAAGATACCCACCGAATGCCACAACGTCGGTGTTGTCGATTAATGCATCTCGCGCTACGATCGGGTCAAACCGGCCGGAACGGCACACGGAAGAAGAGGCAACGCATGTACCAAGTGCGGACCAAAACCATTAGGAATGGACCAACAGAAAGAGGCATGAACCATCCTGCGGCGCGGTTAAGAATTGAATCTATATAATTGAACGCGTACACCGGTTGTTTTCGAATTGAATCAATGAACGTTTTCCCAGCCGGCTCGCCTTCTTGCTAAACTGTGTTAGTCACATTCCATGATTGTCTGTCGATTTTCACCCATGTTCCTACCCCAGCCCCACTATTTGCTCCTTTCCATGGCCTTTTGGATCTATTCGTTCATTTTCTTGTGCTTTACATTGGCCCTTCACATGGGATGAAAAGAATCGCTTGCTTGACCTCTGTAAATGTTTTTGCTTGCTTCTCTAATCAGGTCAATGCTTACTTGTTTTGACTGGCTAAGTCGCATTGTTGACGTTCGTTGCTTTTTAGATTGCCTGATTGGGAAAGACAGTACCGTACGTCTTTCAGATCCTGGTCGTTCCGGATTTGTCGCATTGCTCTAGGCGTTGCTCAACGGTTTCGTCGATCACAGATTACGTCTGTACGATAGTCGATTGCACTTTGTCTACGGTTGAACCACAACAAGTCGTTTTGGATCACAGGGCTTGTATTGATGGCCCTCCAGTGAGACATCCAGGAATACCGTTAAGAAATGTCCCGCGCTCACCCGTTCAAAATTAATCATCATGTAAAGCCCTCATACAGTTTCATGCTGGCCAACAGTGAAACAGAAAGGTTCAACGCAGTATATGAACATGTAACATCCAGAGTCACGGATTCCATTTGATGTTGACCGATTCCAAGTGGATCCAAAGAGGAAGAACAATATCACGAGGAGTCCTACAGGGATCCGTGCTGGGCCCTCAAATTTTCCTTGTTTTCATAAACGACTTAACGGACATTCTCGATCCACGTACAATAATGTTTCCAGACGATGCAAAAATATGGAAAACGGTGACAAAATCAGAGGACTCGCTGGAACTCCAAAGAACACTTAATGCTGCCTATCAGTGGTCGATCGAAAATGACATGGAATTTAACGCATCAAAATGTACTACCGTATCCCTTCGACACAAAACTCGGTTCCCGGATCAACAACCTCCATACGCCGCGAATGAGAAGGATCCCGGCGTCAATTTTCAAGACGACCTAAGCTGTTCTTTAAACTGCTCCCTGACATCTTCTACCGCGGTAAGACATGGTGGTTTGCTAAAACGAGTATTTTGCAAATTTGAACCAATGCTGTCCCCACGATTGTTATCAGCCTACATTCGACCACACAGAGTACGCCATTCAAGCATGGAATCCATGGCTACAACGCGATCAGAAGATTCTGGAACGTCCACAAAGAATGGCTACCAAAATGGTCAAAGAGTTATGCGGAAAGAATCACTGCAACTGTACTCCACACAGTATCGCCGCATTCGAGGAGATTTGATCTTGGTATATCAAATAATGCAGAACCCAGACCATCCATATCGTCCACTCCTTTCCTTGTCGCCCAACACACACCTGCGGGAGCACTCATTCAAATTAACGCTCCAAAAATGCTGACTAGAATGCCGGCGGCATTCATTCGCCCTCAGAGTGTGTATTACTTGGAATTCTCTACCACCACACGTTGTCTCTGAACCAACAATTGATTCATGCAAGCACAATCTGGATGAAGCTTTGAAAAGTCTTAAATTTGAACATCCGTAGAAGCGCACGAAAAAAGGACAAATTGTGACATTCATCTACTTTGTCTGTACTGTGAACCGATTCATCTGTGCCAAATCCTATGGGACTAGAAAAGCAACCGCTTGTAAGTATTTCCCATGATAAAACTTTGACTTTGAAAACTTTGAAGTAACAGAGAAAAGGATCAGTGCCTACTTGAAACAGCTTTGGAAAAGCGGAGTGATTACTACTAGTACGCTAAATGATCTGAGACCTCGTGGAACACGAATACCACATATTTGTGGTTTACCAAAGCTCCATAAACCAGGGGTCCCTTTGTGCCCGATTCTGCCAATGATCAACTCTCCTCAACACAGATTAGCTCAGTGGTTGGCCAGACAGATCAGTCCCATTCGTACGAAACTTTCCCATTTCGGGTTGAAAGATTCTTTCCAGTTGAAGGATACATTATCGGATATTGATTACCGCCAATGTTTCCTTGCTTCTTATGATATTGCTTCGCTATTCACTAACGTACCAGTGACGGAAGCCGTGGAGGAAGTTTGTGAATATGCCAGTGAAATTGGATTTGAGGCAACTGAATTGAGAGCCCTATTGAAATTGTGTGTTCGTAATGTGCAGTTTGTCTTCAATGGCACAATCTTCCGTCAGATAAATGGAGTGGCAATGGGAAGCCCACTTGGACCAATCTTAGCTGATATATTCATGTCCAAACTTGAGAACAACATTTAAACTCGATCTCAAATCCTCAGTTTTTTATCGTCGTTATGTCGATGACACACTGGTAATAACCTCAAACAAAACAGATGACATAGTTTTGTTTTAAAAATTGAACGGGATGCACAAAAATATCAAGTTCACTTTGGAATGTGAGACTCGTTACCATNCCATTCCGAGACTTACAACTGACAAGATTGAGGAATGATGCGCTCCTGACCTCAATTCATCACAAGTGTACATGGACGGGCCAGTATTTACCTTTCCAAAGTTTTTGTTCTCTACGGTAGAAGATTGGATTGGTAAGAACCTTGTTCCACAGAGTTGGTCGCCTGTGCCGTCCGGAAGTGATAGAAAGTGAATAGAGAGATTTGACGATTGCCTTGTCCTCTAACGGTTATCCCCTGCCTTTTATAGAGAAATATTGCACACTTGCCATTTTCAGGCCATTTTCAGGTCGAAAAGAAGCCAATTTCATTGGTGTGCCATTTAAAGGAGAC